TTTTTTTTTTTTTTTGTTTAAGGAAATTTCCTATGTCTACTTTATGCCTCATCTGGAATGTAGTTTATACTTTCAGATCGTGAATAATATTCCATAATGATTGCCTATAAAAGTATGGGCAATCATTCTACTCACATAAAAGAGATGCCTCTTCTGCATTTGTCTCTTGGGAAAACAATGTCTTGATGAAGTTAATGATTTTGAATGATCATGTTTGCATTTCCTATATTATTCTACGTCCTAAGCTTCAATTCACTCTTTGATGCACAGAGAAGCTGAATTTGAAAAGTGTAGATGAGTATAAATACTTGAAGCAGAGTAATTGCTATTCAATTTCTGGAGTTGATGATGCTGAACAATTTCGCATCGTTAAGGTGCTTGTTCTCTCATCATGAGAATAATAATTTGTTGGACTTTTGTGTTGCTAACCGTATTTTGAAATCAAGGTCATTGGGTGTGTTATTTGCCGTCTCTAATTTCAGGAAGCTCTAGATATTGTTCATGTTAGCAAGGAGGATCAGGAGAGTGTATTTGCTATGCTTGCTGCAGTACTGTGGTTGGGAGATGTATCATTCACTATGATTGATAATGAAAATCATGTTGAAGTGGTTGAAGATGAAAGTAAGATTCTCCACAAACTATAGAAAATATTTTAGCTCATTCAGATATTTCAATTTGAGGTTGACATTTTCACATTTGAACAATTGTTAAAAAGTTTCACCTGTACACCAATGACTCTCTCCTTTGCATGCATAAGTCCATGACACTGTTTAAATTGATTTTAGAAGTTGTAAACTCTCCTAATAATCCCCCCTCCTCTATTTCCTGCTGCTCCATTGGTGTTGCTGATCAGTGCTCCTTTTGGAGCATAGATTTGGTCTTCCATGGAATCACTGAGCAGCATTTTTGGAAGGACCAGAACTGGTGGTTGAGGGGCATAAGTGGTAAAGAGGGCTGGGGAGATGAAATATGTAGACAGAAAATGGGAGTGAAGAGGACAATTGACAAAAGGCATTTTGTAGTTTTTAAGTTAATATTGGCACCATCATGTAGCTCTCATATGAATCAATATGCACTTTGAGTTAAAATAAATTCTACCCTTAGTTTATTTTTTCTATTTCCCTCTAGGCCAGAGAGATCAGAAGAAAACCTCCCCTGTAGCTCTTCCCACCCCTCCAAAGAAACAAAAGAAAGATTTTGGTGAAAGAAAAGCATATGAACAAATGTGACTAAGTCTAGAGTGTTTTGGCAAAAGTAGCACGAATATTGTCTGTGGATTTAAACGTCCATAAGCCATGAATGAGATTTGAATTTTGTCATTTTGATGGATTTGTAAAGCATGAGACTTGACTACTGTAAATGGCCTGGGTATGGATATGGCTCAAGACAGTTCAAGATGGTCAAAACTCTTTGGATAAGTAAAGAATTTAAGACCTACACGTGTTTTTTTTTTATCAGCCAGACCTACACATGTTGTATCTTTATCTTGGTTTGTAGTTGTACAATAAATGTGTGGAAATTGGCAATTTCAAATAGATAGGTGCCATTGATTTGCAGGCATCTGACTTAGCAAATTCTTCCATTATTCTTTATTGTAGAATATAGAGCCAGCTGCCACATTAGGCTTTTCTGCCATCAATTCATGAAATTCTTGTTGCATGATAGAAGGAAATTTTTGTGATTTTGTAGCCGATAAGAAGCATTTTGTGTGTTCGTGTCATATTATCCTGTCTACATGGCTCTTATAATTTGTGAAATAGGCAGCCATATTTTGTTCGTAATCATTTTGTTAAAGCCAACACTGTTTGCTTCCTGAAATTTGTTTATTGATCTAAGATATCTCAGTTTGCTGCATGATTCTTTTCCTCAGTTATTTTGTGTTGATTGTTGTAAAGCTATGGTGGCTTCTGAAGCTTCTATTGTAACTTTCAGGTCTAGTCACTGTTGCTAAGTTGATTGGATGTAGCACTGGAGAGCTTAATCTTGCTCTGTCAAGGCGCAAAATGAGAGTTGGTAATGATAATATTGTGCAAAAGCTAACACATTCTCAGGTAAAAAATTCATTTGAATAACATTGCATTCTCATCCTATTTTTCTTCAAATGACATTCATGTGAAAGAGGCTGCTGGAGTAGCACTTGTCTGCTAAATGCTAGGCTTTGATTCAAAATTCCTAAAACTGCTACTGCACTGTATCCATTTCTATGAACTCTCATTCCTTCAAAGTCGACAAACAGTAGTTTTGAGTTCTATGCGTGGTGAGGGTGGCTCATATGGTATTAAATACTTATTATTATTTTTTTTTATGAAAATAAGCATGTCGCAATCTTAAAAATTTCCTCAATTTGTTTAGTCAGGCACAGTGTTTCCATTTGTGAACATAGATATCAGGCTTTAGCTCATTATTTCTTGATGCCAATTGCCTCATCTTCTATTGTATTTTGATTATGGAATATTGAATAAGATGAATTATTTTTCAGTTATCCTTGTAAAGTTGGAAACCATTTTTCAATAAATAAAATTTAAGACTCTTTGGAAATAAAAAAAAATTCTCTTCCATCTTTCAGGCCATTGAGACAAGAGATGCTTTGGCAAAATCAATTTATGCTTGTTTGTTTGAGTGGCTGGTTGAACAAATTAACAAATCGTTAGCAGTTGGCAAGCGGCGAACGGGCAGATCCATCAGCATTCTTGATATTTATGGCTTTGAATCATTTCATGTGTGTCTTTGGTTATGCTTTGACTCTTTCTTGAACCTTCTTTTTCTATTGTATACCAGCCTTTGGTTATTATTATTCATGCAGCATGATTTGTTTTGCAGAGAAATAGTTTTGAGCAGTTCTGCATAAATTATGCGAATGAGAGATTGCAGCAGCACTTTAATCGTCATTTATTCAAGTTGGAGCAGGAGGTAACATACATTTATTCTTGTCATTAGAAGAAGACTTTAAATTTGTAGGTTGTTAGGTTTTCAGAATCATATGGGTCTATTTGATTTGACTTTTTCTGGTTTTGGGATGTTTTCTGTTTGATGAATAACAAGTAAACCAACTTTTAAAGTCATATGATTATAGGAGCATAGACATCAATCTTAAAGGTTAGAATTTATGTACCACTTGGTGCTTACTATAAGACCTTCGAACTGTGATATGGAAAACAATAAATTAAAAGACAAACTGAAACTAAAAATCAACAAGCTTTTTGGTTGATTCTTGAAATTTGAAAACATGTTTAGTTGCATGTTTCTGTTTTAGTTTATTTTTCAGTTTTAGGTTACAGAGAAAATGTTACCATGATATATATATATATATATATAGATAAAAGTTAGTGCGTGTCAGTTCAACTTTCGAAAAGAATTGGGTTCCCAACCTACATTTGGAAACCAAAATCTCAATTAAAAATTCAAAAATCCACCATATTAAATGTTGATACATGGATTTGGAAACTGATTATATATTCTAATATAATCAGCTTCCAAATCTACATATTAACATTTAATATGATGGATTTTTAAATTTTGAATTGAATTTTAATTAAATAAAATGACGTAGTTTAAGGTTGGAACTCTAATTTATTTTGGGAGTCAGGACTGATATGCACTTAACTTTTCTCATATATATATATATATATAGGTTATTCTATTTATATAGATCATTCACATTAATTTTCAAGTTGATCTAACATTTATAATCCTTTGATTAAAGAAACTCTAGTTATTGGTTTTAAGTAGTTCCTCCAAAAAAAATTTTGGGAGGAAATTTATTTATATAAGTAAATATTTTGCTTGTAATGGTTATATTATTCTTATATATTTGTTTTATCATTCGATATATTTAGTTATTTATATATTCAATATGTGTTGCTTTGTTTATTAGGAATGTTGTGAAAACTTATTCCTTCAAGAGGAGCTTTTTCTTCTCAAAAATATCTTAGAAAAAAGTTGCATTTCGTTCAAGAGAAGAAAAGATAAAATTTATTTAATCTTTTTGTTTTGCATGAACTTTCAGTTGACTTATAGTGCTCTCAACTTTTTGTTGATGAAAGAGCCTTGCGATATTTATCTGCATTCCTTTTCATTAGTTGAATTCTTTCTACTTTGGTTGTATAATCTATGCTAAAGTAGTTTGGTGGTGTAACAAGAGATTTGCTCATGTCAAATTTTTATTCTCATTCCTTCCTTTTAGGAATACATCCAAGATGGCATTGATTGGGCAAAAGTTGATTTTGATGACAACCAAGATTGTCTTAATCTTTTTGAAAAGGTAAGGAGTAAACTTTTCACTCTTTTGGGGCATGCTATAAAAAAAAGTTAGGCAAGTCGTGGAAGAATCTCTGTTGGGAATGTTATTGAGGTTTTCCTGTCTTGTGTTTTCAATTTGTGGTCATCATGCTCTTAATATTTATGGAAGGGTTTTTTCTTAGGGGAGGGGTTAAGAGCACAATAAATGCACACTTTTATCATTAAATGCAATCCGTCCAGACACTGGAATTGCTTAAATGTTCTTAATAAAACTCTTCCCTATATTCATTCATTAATGGTAACTGAAAAACATGAAACTCTTAAGTTATAGGGAAAAAAAATAAAGGTTGACTTAAATTAATGCCAATTTTTGTGTTTTACCATATGACGTAATGGCTAAGAGGTGCATTTGTTACACACTTAACTTGTGCTCTAAGTTAGAAAAACCCTTTATGAAATAACAAAAGGGGAAAGTTTCTGAATTTTTTACGTGCAGATGTTTGAATGTGTTTTTTGAGATGTCAATTTAAGTGATGGCCAAAAAAATTTTCAAATTAAGTTAAAAAAATTGTTTGGGATTAACTTATTTGTAACATCCTTCCCCTGATAAACCTCATGGCTTATCAGGTAAAGGAATGACTTGCTCAAAATATCTATTCAAGTGCACTCTTTTAGCAAGTAGTTCCGAAGTGTGAGTCATTTTAAGGTTAAAGTTATAACAAATAGAGAAAAGCTAGTGCAGAAAAGAAAGCTTGATGTATTAATAGGTATAGAATTTATGTAGTTTCCTGAAAGAAATTTAGAGTGCAGGATAAAAGAAACAAGGAATTTGAGAGAGTTCTTTGGTCGGTGCATAAGGAAGAAAGAACTATTTACAAGAACAGAAGACTTAGTTTTTGTTTACATACTTATCCCAAGCTCAAAAGCTTAGTACAAAATGAATTTGAGAATCATAAAGCCAAAGTAGAGTTTTGGGTAGATTCAAATTTGCCTTATTGACTACTTAGAAGCATAGCTCATTGTTTGCATGGGACATCCACCGAAAAGAATTTAGGATCAGCACATCCACCAAAAAGACTCTAGGATCAGCTACTACACTTCACTGGTACTATCTGAAATGGTGGAAAAAACACCATGACCTCACTGACAAGTAAATATAATCCCTAACTTTATGCTGAAAATTCCAAACACTAGTTCCCAACTTGTTCTGATCATACGGAATTAAGATATAGCTCTAGCAGAACACTCATACAGACATAGCACATTAAACAAGAATAACACAGGCTATGGAGTCCACTGAATGTGCATGCACTCACATTTAGGTGCCAAGTTAGTTGGAGCACTTACCAACTGTGCAGAGGTCCACTAGTTCGCTGTTTTAACTCCTAAGCCTATGCTGGGGTTCAAACTCTCCATGGTTTCTAAGGCAATTATAAACAGAAGAATATACAGTATAGAATCATGCATAAAATGTTCCATATTTACTTAACATAGTCTGTAGAATCAATAGAATACAGGCATAGCATATGCTCAGATCATTTGCACTGAAATTAATCTAAAAAGTGTTGTATACACATAACATGTTAATCTCAAACTTGGACTAATTAAAAGTATAATTGTGGCATCACAATTCATTCCAGACCTTAGTTATCTAACTCAAACCACAATTTCACTGCCTGTACAAATATTCTTTAGAAATGAGACTCCCTGGCTTAGGTTAATTCTGGTTCATTGTATTTCTTTGCTACCAGTACCTAAGTTATATAGCCATGATTTACAAATCTTTAATTTCTTTTGTATGTCTTTGTAGCTTATTTATATACTTCTTACTATGTTTGTCATTCTAGACTTCAAATTAAGAATTATACTTGCCATAAACTTGTTCTAAATTCTGGACTTGGCAGAGCTCCTCAAATCTCCAAGTCTGCTTGTCTGCATATCTGCAGCTTCTTTCTCCTTCCTTTTTGGCCCAGCTACCCGGATAACATAGAAAATGGCTAAGTTAGTTTCAAGACACTGATATACTTCCTGAGACAAGGTTAAGTGGGTTTTAAATGCTTCCCACTTAGCCAAACTTCATCTTAGACACCTGTTATTGGCATTAACAGATTAATAGACACCGGGACTCCACTAATCAATTCCTAAAAATGACATGCAACCAAAACTAATAATTCTTATGGATTAGTCCCTAATTTTATACAATTAAAGACCCTATCTTTTGACTTAATGCAAATGAGGATAGGGATAGGAATATTACAATAGTGATCTTGACCAGTTAATAGCGGGTAGTAATGATATTTTGTTTGTGGAGTCTGAGTTGCATATACTACACATCTGACATGGTATCATATTCTTGATATCTATGGAAGGCTTTGGCAGCTGAAAGTTTGACAGAAAATTATTGTTTTTTTCTCATCAGTCATAACGTCACAAAGAAGTTAGGCAGGCAGATAATGGTAATTATGGTAGCATGAGCCAGTTGAATTAAACGAAAATCCTTTATTTGCTTGGAAATGAAAGGCCTTCCTTCCAGTGGAAGAAAATTGGCATGCTAACAACAACTATATTTTAATGGATCCACAATGGTCATTTGTTCTCTTGGATACTTTTATTAGTTTCATTTTAGAGTAAAAGGCTATTTTGTTCGAATCAACATAAATGAGGACTCATGGTTGATTTTCATCAAATTTGCTTTGGCTGGATTTTAATAATCCTAGTGAATTGAGATCATTATAAAAGAGATCCTTTATCACTTGTGAGGTGACTTTACGTGTGAACTACCTTCAGTGATCAATTGTTCAAGGTTGTTTTCTGACCTTCACTGCAGAAGCTAATGAAGATAATTGTTTTTGCAAAATTGAAGGTGTTGAAGATTGCTTGTTTTCTAGTTACTCAGCCTTTTAATGCTTTAGCTTACAGCAGTTGGATATTCATAATAATTTATATGTTTAATTTCTTCCGGTTATATTCATGTCAAAGCTTAACAATCTGTTATATGAACCCTTTATATATATATATTTTGTGATCAAATTGTGCTCAGAATACATGTCTTAGATGTCTGGACATTTGGTTCCGAAGAGAGTGTTTGCACACCTGGTTTGGAATTATGAGATACTAAAATCTTTATATAGCCTAAGGTTTATAAGTGTATATACATTTCTTCTTATTTTATTGACATCTTTGCAAAGAATTCTACATATATAGGTATAGTTTGGCAGGGAGAAGGGGGATGTTTTTGAAAATAAGTGAAATCAGGATACAATTAAAGAAATTTATAAAGATTACAGAGCTAATTGCAACATCTAGGAGATATATATACCTGGTCTAACCAATCTTAAAAGGTTATTAACTATCCATACAATTTACCCCATTGTTCTATAATATTAACTAAATTTCAGATTTTTGTTCCTTTCTTCTTTAGAACATAAACATATAGAATTCGCTTCTTTCAATCTCATATTATAAGTTCTATGCAGAAACCACTGGGTTTATTGTCTTTGTTAGATGAGGAGTCCACTTTCCCCAATGGCACCGATTTGACATTTGCCAACAAGCTTAAGCAGCATTTAAATTCTAAACCTTGTTTCAAAGGAGATAGAGGGAAAGCCTTCTCAGTCTCTCATTTTGCAGGAGAGGTATTTACCTTTTCCATTCATGAGGTAGTTTAATTATAGAATTCCTTGTTTAATCTTGAACATGATTATTCAATGCACACACTTTCGTGGGAGGTGTGGCCCTTTTTTTGTTGACAAATACATTGCTTTATCATCTGGAGCTGAATTTTATTGAACATCCTTTTTTATGATATTATGAGATTTTGTGTGTATTTCCAAGTATGAAAAGAATTATTTGATTATATATATATGTATATAGAGGAGGAGGGATCCACTTACACACAAGTCTTACACACCACATTTATATAAAATCTTGACCATTCATCTCTTCACTTTCAATGGTTGAGATTTATCATGACCTTTTGATGAAAAAGATAGTTATCTTTAATAAATGTGAATAAATCTCAACCTTTGAAAGTGGAGAAATGAATAGTTGAGATTTTGTGTAAGTGTGGTGTGTAAGACTAGTGTGTGAGGCTAGGTGTAAGTGGATCCTTACTCGTATATATATATATATATATATATGTATGTATGTATGAATGAGTTACTATACATTAAGACACAACTCTTACACATATCACTTACACAAATTTTGACCATTAATCTTACCATTGTGAATGGTTGAGATTTATTCACTTTTTATCATATTTTTTAAATATAGTTATCTTTTTTGTGGAAAAAGTCATAATAAATCTTAATCATTCATAGTGGAGACATGAATGGTCTAGATTTTGTGTATGTGATGTGTAAGAACTGTGTGTAAATGGATGTTAACTCTATACGTATTTATTATACACATACATTTGTCTATGCTACTACTTGACATAACGTCTGCTTGGTCCTACGCTCAGGTTACATATGACACGACTGGATTTTTAGAAAAAAACAGAGACTTGCTACATTTGGATTCCATTCAGCTTCTTTCTTCATGCTTATGCCACCTTCCTCAAATATTTGCGGCAAATATGCTTGTTCAATCTGAAAAACCAGTAGTTGGCCCTTTACATAAAGCCGGTGGAGCAGATTCCCAAAAGCTAAGTGTTGCCACAAAGTTTAAGGTGCATAATTTTCCAAATTTTGGAGCCCATAATTGAGCCTGAATAAGTATATGCTAATTTTTGGATGAAGGAAGTACAAAATTGGTTTCTATGTATGTCATAATCCTTACTAGTTCTCAATAAATTGAGGATCTACACTGCCTCAATAAATAAGCACCTTTAGGAAATGATAAGTTGCATACTTCATAATAGGATTCTTTTGAAGAATTAAATCTAATCCATCCTCCTGTTTTGTTTTTTTGTTTAGAGTCAACTCTTCCAATTAATGCAACGCTTAGAAAACACCACTCCACATTTCATACGTTGTATAAAGCCCAACAATCTTCAATCTCCTCGGTTATACGAGCAAGAACTTGTATTGCAGCAGCTGAGATGTTGTGGAGTTCTAGAGGTTGTTCGAATATCACGGTCGGGCTTTCCTACAAGAATGTCTCATCAGAAGTTTGCCAAAAGGTAAAGGATGAGCTTAGGCCATGTCAATTTTGATGGTTTATATTTCATTTGTATCTGACTCTTTCTCATGGTTGGGTGGTGGTGGTGTCTTGAATCTTGCCTCAGGTATGGTTTTCTTCTGTTGGATAATGTTGCATCACAGGATCCACTTAGTGTTTCAGTTGCAATTCTTCATCAGTTCAACATTTTGCCAGAGATGTATCAAGTTGGTTATACAAAATTGTTTTTCCGTACTGGACAGGTATGGCAAACAATTTTGATCTGAGTAAATTTGTTGGGTGGCTGGTTAGTGTTTTTCTTTTTTCCTTTTCCTTTTTTGGTTGGGTTGGGGATAGGTGGATTTGTATTCAGCCATTGCTCAAAATTTGGAAGATAGAGGGTAGTTGAAGCAGCTGAGCCCTGCTTTCTGACAGGCTGAAAACATAATCAGCTGAGCCAGGTGAATGCATTTGTGCTACGCATGGACATGCGACACAGACACTGCATGATACAAACACTTTAGACATGCATTTTTCTTAAAAGCTTAGGAAGCATGTTAAGGAAATGTAAATTAAAAAATATATATTTGAAATATATAAATAGAACTCCCATCAAATTTCAAATCTAACGTTTAAATACATCGGGAATCACTAATGTAGCACTTAATTGCTGTTAAAAGAAAACTAATTTAGCACTTAATATGTCAAAACACTAATTTTCATTAAGCAAAAAATTGTATGTGCAATAATAAAATCAATCGATATGTAAATAAAAATTAAAATATGTGAGGAGGTGATGTTATAGATTTAGGAAAAGATTAAGGGTTAGTTGATTTTATTGACTTATTTTAATGTAATAGATTGTTTTTATTTTGTTTGGGGACCTTTGGGTTTTAATTATTTTATATAGACCTTAATTTAAATTTGTAAAAACTTAGAAATTAACAACTCTTTAATTTAATTGACTTATGTGTCCCACATGTCCAGTAACATGTCACAATGGTGTCCAATAATGTGGCCAGACAAAAACTAAAAGATCAGACACTTTAAAAGTGCGTGTCTAACGTGTGTCAGACATGGACACTCTGGCCAACAAATAGTGCCCATGCTTCATAGCATCCATTAACAGAAAAGCAATGTTGCAAAACGTGCAAGGTGATGGTGGGTGTTTGGCCACCGCCTAACACCTAATGCCTAGGTGGTTGGTTCTAAGCGATCTAAGCGTTTTTCCTTTCTTGATAAAAAAATTCAAAATTAATAAGAAAATCTAAAAATTAAGAGATTCCTAGCTTCACCGCTTAGGGCCCAGGCGAAGCAACAGAGCACTGCCTAGTGCTTAAGTGGTGCCTAGGCATGTTTTTTGCAACACTACAGACAAGTGATCAAGGATTAACTCACCTCTTAGATTTTGAAAAATCTTTTCCTTTTTAATAGATTACAGTTGTTATTGGCTGTAGCCATTGAATATGACTCTGCTCCCAAACTTCATGAATTAATGTAACAATAAAAAACTATGCAGATTGGGGTTCTTGAGGATACAAGGAACCGAACCCTCCATGGTATTTTATGTGTCCAAAGCTGCTTTAGAGGTCACCAGGCTCGCTGTTACCTTAAGGAGCTTAGAAGTGGAATTGCTACTCTCCAGTCATGTATTGCCTTTTCTGACTTTTCTTACAAAGTTTAATTGTCAGTTTTAAACCATAAGAATGAGAAAATGATCTTCTCATTTGTTAACACAGTTATTCGAGGAGAAAAAATGAGGAAGGAATATGCTGTGTTGCTAGAAAGACATAGAGCAGCTGTTATCATACAAAGACAGATTAAAGCAAGTATTGCATGCAAAACGTTCAAGAACATTAATGATGCATCAATTGTGATACAGTCAGGTAAGTCTTTTGGAGATTTTTGCTTCTTTGCATATTCTCAAAACTTGAATTAGAGAAGTACTAGGAATGGCTTGGATTTCTAAATTACATGATTAGGTTTTTCCAGGCTTGAGCTTTATCACAATTTTTCATTAATCCTCACCATTTTTCTATACTGAATTCTCAAGTATAACTGTTGAAAAATGCATGGTTGGAAATTATTTAGCTCATCTATGAAATTCAACTTATAAAAAATAAGAAAAAGAGGTGGGTGATTTACCCAGCTATTTAGTACGTACTCTTTGGATGGAGTTGGGACAGTTTTGGCAGCCAAAAGACCAAATTCCAGATGACAAATTTGCTTAAGGGTCTGCTTTGAGCTCAATGCTTGCTGAAAGTTGGTTGTACAATGTCCTTAGTTATCTCTACTATTTGTTGCAGTTATTCGTGGCTGGTTGGTCAGGAGATGCTCTGGGGATATAGGACTAATTAAATCTGGTGGCACTAAGGTACGCTAGATTGTTTATGACTTAATGTCATTTAACTATGTCCATCTTCTTTGACTGTTCCACTCTTTAATGTATAGTTCAATTGTCCAGATTTTCTTTGCAGTAACATCCATTCATTACCAATGCCTTGTTTCTATATTTTGGGAAATAATGATTCCAGATGACTTTCTTTTTCTGGTTACATCTTTCTATGAGGAGAGTATTGTGATGCTTGGAGAGATTACTTTAGTGTTAGAATTGAGCTTGATAGCATCTCAACTCTTCCCTGAGTATATATTAACTTGGTTCTGTTAGTCACCAATTGAAACAATTATGAATACTAACATGTTTTCCATGAAGGAAGGAATGTGTCTGCACTTTTAACGATCAAACTATTCTCAATTCCTACTTATAGGACTCAACTTCGTCAGTTTTAATTAGATTTGGTTTTCATTGATAATGCTTAGGAAATGGGGGTTCAATGATGCTCGGGAATACTTGAAAAATGTTGATAACACAAAATCTGTAACACCCAGAACCAGGAGCGTACAGATGCTGTACACCTGCAGAGTGTCTACATGCACAAGGCTCAAAACCTGCTAAACTAATAATTCACACTTTCTATGTCCAAAAAGACCCAAAATCAAGCTTAGTTTACTAAATGGTTTACATTCTGCAATTATTCACGTAACAATAATCATGCTTCCTGAACATAATATCACGTCTCAAATAATTAATTCTAATCTTCCAGCACTTAAAGGACAACTAAAGCTCAACAGAAATTCTAAAGCACAACTAATCTAGTCTATAAATTTAATACTAGAACATGAGTTTCTCAAAATAAAACATAGGCTTACTAAAACCCCTAAGCTGAATCTCTAAGCGTCACTCTCCCTGATTCCCAATGTTTTGAGCTTCTGCATCTGAAATGGAGAGAAAAATTTAACGAGTATAACTCAGTATGTAACATAGCACTTCCCTTTTCTACAATTTTCAAAATGATGGGGAGAACCCAGACCCAAGTTTAGTTCACATGAAAACAAGGCTTCCTCTCTACTTTCTTTTTTTGGCCATTTCTTAAAGGTTCTATGAGACCAAGCTGTGCAAATTCCACCTCAACTCCATTATTGTATGTTCAGGTCAATTTCTGTAGAGTCTGGTGTGTGTGAATTTTGTTTGATTGTATCTCTTTAGTTATTGTTTCTTGGTTTTTGCATGCAAGCTTAGACTCATCCAATATCTTTTCTTGTTAAAAACTAATTAATTAAAATTTCCTCTAGGCAAATGAATCAGGTGAGGTGCTGGTGAAATCATCATTTCTTGCAGAGTTACAACGCCGAGTTCTTAAAGCCGAAGCTGCTCTGAGGGAGAAAGAAGAGGAAAATGACATCCTCCACCAACGGCTCCAACAATATGAGAGCCGTTGGTCTGAATATGAGCTGAAAATGAAGTCCATGGAAGAAGTGTGGCAAAAGCAAATGAGGTCGCTCCAATCAAGTCTCTCAATTGCAAAGAAGAGCCTAGCTGTTGATGATTCTGAGAGAAATTCTGATGCTTCAGTTAACACCAGTGAGGACAGAGAGTATAATTGGGATACTGGGAGTAACCAGAAGGGTCCAGAAAGCAACGGTGTGAGACCAATGAGTGCGGGCTTGAGCGTTATAAGCCGGCTGGCTGAGGAATTCGAACAGAGGAGTCAAGTATTTGGTGATGATGCCAAGTTCTTGGTGGAAGTAAAATCAGGTCAGGTTGAAGCAAGCCTGAATCCAGATCGTGAGCTTAAAAGGTTGAAGCAGATGTTTGAAGCTTGGAAGAAGGATTACAGCACAAGATTAAGAGAAACAAAAGTGATCTTAAACAAGCTTGGAAATGAAGAAGGTGCACTCGACAGGGTGAAAAAGAAGTGGTGGGGAAGAAGGAACAGCTCAAGGTATATATAATTAGATTATATATATTCTTTGTAGTAGTGATATTGTTGCAATTTGGAACAGCTAGCTCCAATCTATCTATTACCAGGAATGTGTGTAGAGAAAAATTACGAGTTCTTGTTACGACCAGTTCCTCTATTGCTGTTTTCCTTTCCAGGGCTTGAGAATACAATACATAGCAAAAATTGAAAATTTGAATATATTATTAAAAGACACTGTATCTGCAAAATTTGAGTTAACTTTGGCTGTAGAAAAGGCTGCGTATTTGGTATGAATTATGAGGGCTATTGTCATTTATGTTATTATGAAATGCGGAGTTGTGTTGGCCCCAAAACAAACGAAGGATATGGAATTGTGGATACTTTGAAATGAGATGTACTCCGTTTTCTGCTACGTCTTCTTCATTTTTCCTGGAGTTATGTTCTGTGGTATATTTTGTCAACTATGTTTTATTTAGTTGTTTTACTAATTAAATGGTGGTATTTTTCTCAACTTTTTATTGGTGGAAAGGACAAATTGCCCCCAGAATTTTTCTAATGAAACAAATTAGCTTAAAAAAAATTCAACCAAATCGTCACTTTAAAATTTTATTTTAAAGAAACCAGTACGAATTTAACAATTAACATAAGCTTTCTATTAAACTTCAAGAGCAATACTTTAATGGGTTTAACAAAAGTTTATGTCAATAGTTAAATTGAGATTGATTTCTCTAATAATATATTTACTCTAATAATATATTTAAGTTGAGGTGAGTGGAGGGGATGATAGGAGAGATTTTTTTAATAATCAAATTGTAATATTTAATACTATTATACTTTTTTTTTTTTTTTTGGTAAAAGAGAGTAAGATAACATTAAACAAAAATAAAATAGTGCATCATCGAGTCCTGGGGACTTCAAACCCCATAATATCTAAAACACAAAATGGTTTAACATGTCGGGGACATTGAGAAAGAATAACAAAAT